TCATGGACAAAACCAAAGGGGAAGAGCTGAGGGAGGGAAGGTGGGAGGGGGCAAGGGAAAGAGGTAGGGGGGAAGCAGAGAGAAATGTATTTAAAAAGTAAATAAATTAAAAAAATAATAAAATGGTTAATCAAATAATAAAAATAAATAAATAAAATATTTTCTTCAATAAAAAAAACTAATCTCAGGTTTAAATAATACTCTAGTTTCTTGGAAATAAATGCTTCTGTTCCTTTCTTACTAATCCCCAATTATTGTCAATCCTCACCTATTGTCATCCTGGTCTTGGTCCTCTGATTAGAAAGGGCCATTCTAGCTGGAATGCAATTAAAAGGTCCTTGCAGGGTTGATGTAAGGACCTGCCTGGCTTCCCACACCAGGAATCCAACTGTGGTACATGTACACAATGGAACACTACACAGCAGGAAAGAAAGAAGGAACTGCTACCCTTCGTGACAGCATGGGTGGAACTGGAGAATGTTATGCTAAGTGAAATAAGCCAGGCGGTGAAAGACAAATACCATATGATCTAACTATAAGTGGAATCTATTCAACAAAATAAACTAATGAACAAAATAAACCATTTTGAATGAAAAAGTGAAGATGCTGCATGCTGACCTCCTGAAAGATACCACTGGAACTAGTGTTGAAAGTGATTTGTTTAAGGGTAGTATGGGGGTGGTTCAATAAATTTAATCAAAGAGGTGGCATTCATCGTGTAGTGAGACATGGGGAGGCTTCCAGTTCTAACAAAGCAGCTGCTGAAAATTTCATGACAGAATTTCAAGAACATGTAGAGGCTAAAGGATTTGTTCCCCAACAAGTGTTCAACTGTGATGAGACAGGCCTCTTCTGGGAGGAAATGTTAAAGATGACCTATATCACCCAGGAGGAGAAGTCATTGTCAGGACACAAGCCTATAAAATACAGGCTGATGTTATTGTTGTGTGAGAATGAAAGTGGGCCCTTTAAATTGAAGCCTCTACTTATCTACTATTCTGAAAACCCATGAATTTTCAAGAAAAATAATGTTATGAAAGACATGTTGAATGTGATGTGGAGGGCTAATAGCAAAGCTTGAGTAACCTGGCAATTTTTATTGACTTGGTTCTTGAAGTGGTTGTCCCAAGTGTGAAGAAATATCTCTGGGTAAAACAATTGCCACTCAGGGTGCTTAGTGTAAAGGACAATGCTCCTGGCCACCCTCCAGGCTTGGAGGCCAAGTTGGTGGAAGAGTATAGCTTCAACAGTGTTAGGTTCTTGCCACCTAACACAACTCTTCTCATCCAGCAGGTCAGTTTTAATTTAAGGAACTCTAAACAAAGTCACTGTTTCAGGGGTGTCTTGAGGTGACCTCCAAAACTAATTTAACCCTCAGGGAGTTCTGGAAGGAACATTTTGATATCCTCACTAGCTTGAGGCTCATGACAAAGCAAGGGAGGAAATGTCTTTCATAACCATGTAATCAGCCTATAAGAAACTGTATCCTGAGTCTGTTGCTGAAGAGACTTTGAGGGCTTTGAGGATGAGTCTGTGTCTGTTGTGGAGGATATTGTATCTCTGGGCAAGTCCATGGGCTTTGACGTGGATGATGTGATAGTGTGCAGGAGTTAGTGAAGGCCTGCAACACTGAGCTGACCACTGAGGAACTCCCAGAACTGCAGAGGAAGAAAGAACAGATGGCAGCTGAGGGGCTCTATTCAGAGGAGGAGGAGTGAAGGGAGGCTATTCCTACTTCACTAATCAAGGAAGTGCTCAGGACATGGGGAGAAATTCAAAGTTTTATTGAGAAATATCACCTTAATAAAGAAATAGCAAATTAATCAGTAAACTTGTTCAATGATAATGTAGTGCTTCACTTCAGACAAGTATTAAAAGATAGGCAAAAACAAACATTGAACCGTTTTCAGTGAGAGAGCAGCCCAGTGAGCCTGAAGCAAGTTCAGTGGGGCAAAGAGACAAAAGAGATAAAAAAAAAAAAACACAGAAAAACAGCTACCAGACATTTTTATGGAAGGGGACTCCCCTTCCAAACAATAATATCCCTCCATCCTTCTTCTCCATATTCAGTCATCAATAGTTCTCAACATTACAGGTAAGTTCTAGTGTGTGCATAAATTTTCATTTCTTACTGTATATTTCATTTCCTTTTTGTTAAATTTTCATTTACATTTCATTTCCTTTTTTTATAAGTGTTTCTGTATCAATTAAATGGTATATTAGACATGTACTGTATATATAAGAAAGGTTAAAACAGGTAATCATTTGGGGGTCTGGAATGGATTGATTCAATTTACATTATTTCTGATGAAAAAAAATATTCAGTTTCCAAAAAATCACTTTTCAAACAGACTTCCTAAACGAATTAAGTTCAAGAACCAAGATTTCACTGTATTGATTTCCTTTACTTACCACACCTGTTAGCCTGTTTTTCAAGGCCTTACTTTATTTGACCTAAATCCACTTTTCCCACTACATGTCCTAGTACTCTGCTTTATGGCCCTTTGATGACAACATAATGGAAGTACTCCTTCTTCTCCCATAGAAACCTTGCCCCACCCCCAGGACATATTTTTGCTTGTACATTTTGCCTGGATTATTCTTTCCTCCACTTCCAACTCATCCTTCTACAGGCAGCTCAATTAATTCATCCAATAAAAACTTTTCCACCCAGGGCACTTTATCAATGCCTATTCTCTGGCACTTAACGTTTTCAATAGTAAATTGTCAATTATTTACATACAAGGTTTATATGCCATAGAAGACTTTGTGCTCCCTAAGGACAATATTTGTACCTAATTTTTCTTTTCTTTATTGTGGTAAAATAGACACATATAAAGTTTACCATTTTGACCATTTTTAAATCTACAGTTCAGTGGCATTTGGTGCATTCACACTATTGTGTAACCACCATTACTATCCATCTCCAGAACTCTTTCATTATCCCAACCTGAAGTTCTGTACCCATTAAACAGCAACTCCCTATTTCCCCATCCTCCAAACTCCTGGCAACCTACTTTCTATTCTTTATGAATTTGATTATTCTATGTACTCATATATGTGGTATGATACAATAATTGTCTTTTTGTCTCTGATTTATTTTACTTACCATAATATCCACAGAGTTTGTCCATGTTGGAGCATATGTAGAATTTCCTTTTTTAAGGCTGAAAAATATTCCATAGTGTGTATATACCATTCATCTGTCAATGGGCTGTGTCTGAATTTTTAAAGCCTACATCCTCAGTACTTACCAAATGCCTGGGCCCAACAGACCCTTAATGTTTGTAAATTCAATGACCACTCTTTGGTAAGTCTCTTTCATTAGGTCTTAGTTTATCTATGAAATGAAAGTTATAGAATACAATACAATTAGTGGCATTCACTCTTTGACATTTAGTTATAAGATATTTTGAGTGGGAAGGCATTGGGGCTTGAGTGCTTCTGGTGAGGAGAATTAAAAGATACCATTTCTCCCCCATTTTTATTTACATTAACTGATTTATATTCAGACTTTGTTGGTTATGATTCCTTAGCTGCAAGCAGTGAAAATCAGTCCTGTCTAATCCAATAAAAAATCATTTTTTGTAATGATGTCAATTTATTGTAGCTCATAGTCTTCATGGAGAATCAATCTTTCAAAAAAAAAGAACAAATAAGCAACTTCAGGGGTGGAAATCAGAAACTATTCAATAGTCTTGTCAGAGTAAGTTTACTGAAATAACTTAATTTCAGCCATTTTTCTATCCTTAGATATTTCTTCTCAAGATTTTATTGGGAAGGTACAATTGGCTTAGTGTGGGCTATATGACCACCTTTTGGGCAAATGTACACCAGGACAGCAGATTATGGGAAGAGATAATTCTCCACAAGGAAATCAAGATTCTACGTAGCCAAAACCCAACAACAATTTGACATTACAGGGGCTTAAGAGCCTGCTCAAGGAATATAATTCAACCTGTGTATACTTTTTGGGTCTTGTGGACTAGAATAACCATAATCAAGGCCATATTGCAGAGAAATAAGACAGAGATTCTCAGAGAGATCTTAGAATGAAAGAATAAGAAATCTATTATGTTGATCAGATCCCCCAAAAGAAGGGAAACATTTCAATATACCATCCTGACAGAATATGCATTCCCAAGGGGAGTGAAACTTTGCTGTGGGCAGCCTCTCTAACTAAACTTAATAATAAAGTGTTCTTACTTTGCAAGAGTAGCAATGTGGATTTTCAGCATCAAGAAACCATAGCACCACCAACACCGAGCATAGTAGATTTCCAGTCCTACCAATGTTTAAGGCAGCATAATGATGATGGTAATTAAAATACAGTTCCAGTCTCAGAAGAGACCATGGTGGACCTCTTTAGGGTCTGCCCCTGTAGATTCTAAGTTCTGCTAACTGATGTGGTCACTGACAACCAGGAGTAATTTATGACCAACTGGAAGCACTTGTGGGAATTCTCAAAATAATATGAGGTATCTTCCAAAGGCTATATTGGTTATACAGTCAAATTAGTACGATCTGGCAGAGCTGGCAAGATTTCAATACTACTGATATAATCTCAGTATAATCTGGTTGGTGTGATCTGAGGGAAATAGCTTATACTTTGATGAATCTTTGAATTTGTGAAACATCCCTCAAACAGGAGGACTGGGTATTGCAGGTAGAGTCTGTTATGTAGAGCAAAGTGAGAAAGCAGAAACCATACTTCCGTTCTCTTTTTTCTTAGGGTGATGGGACAAAAATAGCCAATATGTGGGGTTCACACCATTTCTCACCTACCTGAGAAGCATGCCAATTTTTCTCATAACTTTCTTATATATGTCACATAACTGAGTTTTCTTTGTTCATTTCTCTATTTGATTTCTTGTTTCTCTCCACTTGCTAGAGGCAAGCTCCAGCAGAACAGTAAGATTTACCAACTTTTGTTCACTGCTTTACCCTCAACACCAAGGACAATGTGTGGTGCATGGTAAGCAGTCAAAAAAATTTATTTGATACTTACCTGGCAGGGGAGATGCCATGATCACAAAGGTGGTTTTCCCAAGGTGAGGCTTATCCGTTGCACTCTGGATGTGCTGACCCCTGTCATTTCACCAAATGTGGGAAACTCGACTGCATAATTTGTGGTAGTTGTAGACTGCATTCACACTCTCCCCTGAAAAAAATAATTATTTTATTACGGAATAAATGAATATAGTGCATTCTGAAAGTTTTTGCATCATTCAACAAGAAGAATTTAAATATTTGATGGGTGACCAAAGTATGTCTTTCAAATTCAAAGTGGTGTGTTTTGGGAGGCAAGAATACAGTGACTTCTACAAGTACCATTCAGTGTAGTTTTCTTTTGTTTGGTTTGGTTTTAATTTTTGTTTTATTTTTCTTGTATCTCAGCAACTAATGTTTCACAAGAGTATCACATAATCTGGACTTCAGAGAACTAGGTCCTCTGAAACATGAATCACCCTAAGCCTGACTACTTTAATTAAATTTGTGTTTCTTTTATTTCCACAAAGGCATTTAATGATTTCTTAGAACATTAAAAGAAATTAGCCTTGCATTAAATTTTATTCTATCCTTCATAGCATCTTGCATAGTATTATGTTTAAGGAAATTAACCACAAATAATTATAGGAGGAAGGTAGGAAGGAAGAAAAAACAAACAAAGGGATTGAAAGGGCCTTAGCACTAGGTGAATTTAGATTATTGTCCTAAAGTAATTGAAATAAATAAACAACCATGTTGCTCCCATTTGCTCTAGTAACTGAAGAAGATATTGAAATTTTTGGCAATATGAATTAATTTCTTCCAGCTTTTTTCCCTTCTTTCCTTCCTTCCTTCCTTTCCTCCCTCCCTCCTTCCTTCCTTCCTTTCTTCCTTCCCCTCTCTCTTGCTTCTTCCCTTCCTCTCTCTCCTCCTCCATCTCTCCCTCCCTCACTTTCCTCTTCCTCTTCTTTCATCTTTCAATCTTTATTTCATTTTTTCTTGATCTGAATAGATATTCTAGCAGTATGTGAAGGCTGTTCTGCTTTCTAGGGTATTATATTAGGGAAAACAATTTGTAAACATTATTGAATGATATTGTTTTTCTAAATTTTAAAAAGCAGCAATTATCTTGGAACACTTAATGATTCTATTAAAGCATTGTATCAGGTACCTTAAGGGGAAAAAAGGCAAAACCATGCCTTTCAATTATAACATCAGAATTCTTTACCTCATGAAGAGTATCTAGTGCAGATAAAGAGGAGGATGAGGATTTGAAGTACACATGGGCTTTCTTGGTTTTGAAAAATAAAAAATGATCAATCAGAATAGAAAATCAAGTACCTGTTGTCATAATGCTTTTTATGGAAAAAAAAAGAGTAAGAGCAAAAGTTGGTAACAACAAGCGATAAAATAATATTTTCAAAATTAGTCTTAGTCAACAGACTACTACATAACTATGTTGTTAAAATGAGTTTTTGTATTATGAGTGATTTATAACCAAATAAAACTGGAAGTTCGGTTGCCTGCCACCACAAAAGCCAAACTTCTGAGACAGATGCTGGTACAAAAAGAAAGAGGTTCTACTCAAGTGCTGTGACCTGGAAAGATGGTGGACTCCCATCACAAAGACCATCTAATTTTTCTGCCATGGAAAAGTTAAACCATCCCCAGCAAGGCCAAGACAAACACTAATGTTCAGAGTTCCTGCTAAGGCCATGTGACAATGGAAAAAAACAAGTAAATCCACTGGATTAATGCAGGTCATTAGTGAGAGAGAGAGAGAGAGAAATTCTTTGTTCCTCTGGGATTATATTAGCTTGGGTGTGGGTGGACAAGGTGCTTTCTCAAAATGACCAATCAACTGCCTAAAGTTTTGCGCAGTTAAGGTGGATTTACCTCCACACCAACCTCTTCTTTCCCCAGGCTAGACTGACAGGCTTCTTTGGTCCAGCACTTCCCCCTGCACCATTTTGACTACTATGGTGCACCTGCCTTCTTTCCGCTGGTCCCATCTCCAATCTGGTACAGAGGAGGGGAGGCATTTTTCCTACTCATCTATCTTGCTAGCTTTTTGGGTGCTCAGCCTAATAACTTCCTCCTGCTGCCATCTTGACTCATAGGGGAGTCTCCCTGGTGCTCTGTTTTATGGTAACAATACTAGAGGAGCAGATTATTAAGGATGAGTTTCCTGAATTTATTCTGGGGTTTCTTGAATTGATTCTCTAATCTGATTAGATTTAAAGACACTAATGACTCTATTTCCAGTAGTAGAAAAAAAAAAAAAAGCAAACACTGATTGCCCATTGTATGACCTGGCAAAAGAGATATGCAAAATGTCACATTTGGATACTCCTGATCAACCACTTAGAAGAAGCAAGAAACAAGATGACTCAGTATATATAATTTTGAACATTTTTGGAAAACTACCAAGCACAATTATATTGGTTGATTACTCCTAATGTCCCTGTTCAAATTGGTGACCAAAAATAAAAATTTAAAAAAAAGGATGAACTTGGATTCAAATTTCTGGCTCAAGCGTTGCATAAATGACTTAAAAGCTTCTATGTGTTCCCTGAAGGAGACCCTTATCTCCCATAGCTGCAGGGCTGAAATTGCTGAAAATCAAACGGGGAACTCCATCTTGTGACTGGCTGAATTACAGCACAAGTTGAACATTCAACCATCCAGAGTGTTAAAATGAAGGCATTGACTGAAACTAATGGAATCCCAAAAGCTGGCATGACAACATGTGGAAAGATTTTGATGAAGCTAAGGACATTGACCTCCTAAGTTCTGATGAGTCTTTTTTTTAACAGTGAGAGAGGGCTCTCCACCCCACCCCTTAGCAGAACTGACATCCCAATCCCCAGTGGCAGTGGTACTCTCAGCAACAGTGGTAGGGACCTTTCCACCTACACCTGCATTACCTGAAGAAACCTTCATGGCCTCCTCTGAGACATTTGTCATGCAAGGAAATGCTGATTCTCCTTAGGAGCTCCTCCCACCATCCCTCTCTTTTCTAGAGCTATAACTAGACTCAAATCACAGCAGGCCTCTAGAGGAGAGGTATAATTTGTGATAGTGAGATGTCCAACACTTCAAAAGGACAACTTGAGTTTTCTAATTTACACAGAGAGAAATCCAGGGAATGTGTGTGGGAATCAATAATAAGAATATGGTATAATGGTAGAACATGAAATTGGATCAAGCCAAATTTATTGACTTCAATTCACTAAGAAATCCACAGAAGTCTTGAAGGAAAATGAGGTCAGATTGTGGAGGCTCTTAAACTCTATGCTAAGGCACTTGTGTTTAATTTGGCTGGCAAGGAAACCAATAAAATTTTGTTGTTTTGTTTTGTAGGCATCAGGAGATGTGAACTTTGTGCCATCCAAAGTATTTCAGGACTTGTCTGACATGCTTTGTTACCAGGCAAGAGTACACTAAAACGTTACAGATATAAAGTGTTTTTGAAATTATCAGGGAAGCCAAGGCAAGGTTAAGGATCTTTACCAGTGTTATCTAGAGTTATCTGTTAACTAAGATAGGTAGAGACAGATATTTAACAACTGGCTTTTTGGTTAAATGAATGCATCTGGCAAATAAATTCCTGCTACTTTGTATTCTTTGGGAAAAAAAATGGTTGGGTTCTGATTTTTACTGGCTTTCCTGAATGGTAGTAATACTGAGAATAAAGTGTTTGAGGTTGGTCCTAGACTGTAATCTCAGCTTTGCCACTCTGGCTGTTAGAAGATTTGAGTCTCAGTTGACTCATGTGTAAAATGAATATAATAATAGTACTGGCTATACATGGGGACTGCAGAAATTAAGTGAAATTACATAGGAAAGCATGCTTAGAATAGTGTCTGGCTCATAGCAAGCACTCAATAAATGCCTGCCATTATCATCATCCCTGGTTCAAATTTCTAGGTTGTATAGGACTGAAAAAACCTTTTGAAGTAAGTATATTTTATTTATTGGTGAAATATTAATTGTGCACTTACTATGTAAAAAGTCATGTGTAGATGGCTAAAACACAGTGATAAGGTGTTGTTGTTTTATAGAACTTAAAGATGATAAAGAATATTATCCAAGCTTATTCTTCCCCTCTTCAATTAACCCATAAGTGCTCCTGAGTACAGTAATATAATTACATTGATATATACATTTTCTTTCCATCAGAGAAAAGACTCTTAAAGTCTTTATAAAAGGCATATTTTAAAAGTTTATATTACAGCTAAATATCAAGTCCCGCAGTCTAGGGCAAGAGTTCAACAGACCATGGGTTACAAAATCTGGCTATCTTATTTCCTAGTCAATTAATTCTGGGCAAATTGTGTAACCTTGCTGAACCTCAGTTTTTATCTGTAAAATAAGAATAATAGTACATAGAGTACTTAGTAGACATTTTGGGAAGGCTGAATAAGATAAACCTGATCCTAGCTCTAGATATGACAGAAAACTGCCAAATGTGAAGAACTATCCTGTCACCAAGTGCATTAGCAAACTTCAAAAATCAAAGAGTAAGGCAGTTCCTGAGGATCATAAAATATCTAATTCAAATCCACTTTACTTTCCATTTCTGCATAGTTAGGGACAGGTACATTTTGGCCCAATTTAGCTGACAAATGGTTATAGCTCTCTCTCCTTTATGCAGAGACAGAGGCACCCAAAAAAATCTTCACTGCCCCTTGTTTGACCTCACAAGAAAGGCAGCATTCTCAATGTACTAGACAGGAACGTATGTGAAAATAACATGTGATTCAAATTCTATGGCTCAGAGGTTTTTGTAGAGACATTATTTCATTAAAGGTCACATATTCTAGAGTCAAAAAACTGCTATTTTGATTTATAAACAAGGATCTACTTAGAACTTAATATATGCTTTCTTTTTTTCTTTATTGTATTGTAAAGTCACTGACCTAATATTATTTTTATTATGTTAGAATTGCTCTTTAATTTGTGAATCAGTTATGGACATTTCTTTTATTTCTTTTTTATTTTTTTGGTATTGTAGAAAAGTAAGGGAGACAGAGACACGCAATTTCACTTTTGTAGCCTTGTTTGGTCCTTGATCAATCCTCAAGCCTACCACCCACATTCTTTTCCATATGAAGTAAGTCAAGTGAGTCAATCTTTTCATCCAATACTTGCTTATTTTAATAGGCACTGT